CACACACACACACACACACACACACACACACACACACACACACACACACACACACACACACCACCCACCATCAGCTTCTTTCTCTAAATACTGCTCAGGCACACAGACTCTCTCACATGCTAACACACACCTAGACTGCCCTGTGTTTGACACGTGAGAAATATGTGTCATACTGGGTCCAAGCATGCTACAACTGAAGTATGGAGCCAGTTTTTGTTGCACGCCATCATGCATGAAAGACAACCAAGTCGCTGCTGAAACAGACACATTGCATCAATTTTTTTTTTCTGACCAGAAAACATGCCTCCCTTCTCCAGAGACCACCTGGTCTGCTATCTTTGTTTACTTGAACAGTAGGAGTGCCAGGTTTTTTTATATATAATAAAAACTGTGCTAAGCCCCTCTCTCTCTCACTCCCATTCTCTTTATGAAACAAAGTTCTACCCTGCTTTACTCAGTGTCTTTTCCATCGCCACCTCACAACACTCCTTGTTGCCAGGTGGGTGAATCCATCTACAGGAACATGTGCAGTGTGGAACAGCTCAGCAGTCCAAGCTGTACTGACAGTTCTGGGAAGTCCTGAGTAAAACATTATCAAACAGTGTGGCTGGGGTTCTGATGATATCCATCTGTTGGCAGGGGGTGAGTGGCACTTAGCTAACTGCACAACGAGGAGTCCTGCAATCCTTTATTTGATTTGCTGTTCACTCAACAGCTTGACAAATTCACAAAAAATGTGGACCATATTCTTTTTCTTTCAAAGTTTCTTTCTTGTCATCACTCACCTGCCCTTTGTGTCCCACTCTGACCAGAACACAGATAGGGTTAAAGGCCCCTGTTCCACACACCAGCAAGTGGGTCTGGTTGTATTGCTGCAACACTTTGATGTAGTTTGCACACTCGGGCTGTTGGAAGACATTCAAATTACAAATACAAAAAAAAAAAAAAAAGACGTGGATGAGTTGTGAAGGACATTTAAGACCACGCAGCATAAAATGCAGTAATAGACAGTGCCGGGGTTTATTGCATCATAAATAACATCCATTTTCAAGATTCACAAGTTTATGAGCACAGTGAAACGTCAATTTATAGGTGCTGCCAATATATATCTCTTTGATCGATCTTTTTACCCATACAGATAATTACACTGGATGACAAGATGCTATGCAGTGCATTCTGAACTCAGCGATTTTGCCTCATCGTCTTAAGCATCAGGCCCAGACATTATCAAATCCTGTATAAAAATACATGCAGGTATTGGGGAGCAAAAACATTTTGTACAGCACCTACCTTTTCCCTCCCCTTCATCATACATTCCTCTATCTGAGATTCTGTACTGGCCCAGTTAATCTGAAATAAATAAATAAATAAATAAATAAATAAATAAATAAATAAATAAATAAATAAATAAATAAATGAATAAATATTTAGTTTCCACACATTTAAAACAGAATTGTTCTGGACAAATACTGTTTAAGAGATACAAGTCAAAGTTTTCCAAAATAAGCATTCCTCTTTTTTTTTTTTCTTATAAGGATAACTTCATCTTAAGCATTACCTGCTATGTTTAAGATTAAGTGCTCCAGTGTTTCCAATCCTGACTAGCAAATGGAATGAAGCTAGGGTTACCTGTCTGTAGTGTGCGTTAACACGGTCCAGACTAAGGGAGAACAGAGCATTCTTGGCACCGACGTAAAGTCTCTGGTGGATTTCATCCAGCAACATAGTCTGAGGCTGAAGAGGCACGGCACGACCCTGGAACACCCAGGTCCTGTTCATCTGCCAAAGTTCTGTATGGATACAATAGGAGAGAAAGATGTGCAAAGGTCTGTAATAAAGTGGATGGATGGATAAATAATAATAAAACATCTGGCAATACATTTGCTAAAACTGAGGTTAGGTATCCTGCCAGAGACTCACATTTTACCAGACACATACACAACAGCATCATCAGCGGACAACTAAAGGCCAATATCAGGATGTTGAAATTTAGATCATTTACTATAGCAACAAATGTTAAAAGCAAAGATGGTCCCCTGCAGAATGCCTGATTTAAATTTGTCAGGAAAAAGAGACTAACGTTGTCAACCAAGTGATGGAAGACAGAATGGAAAAAGTAAAATAAAACATAGCATTTGGAGGCCATTTTTCATGCCTAAATTCATTTGTGTTTTATGACTAAAGGTTGTAACACGTTGAGCTTAAGACAAACTTCAAAAGTACTTTGGCTCAATCATAAAAAGACACTATGCAACAGCTGGAATAGTTTGGGGAAAAAATGTTGGTGTATGATTTATAGATTCTCATGCTTGTGTCCCTTTTAGCTAAGAGGAAGCAGTTTTATCACACAGGAAACTGCACCAGTCTTTTTTTTTTCAATCATTAGTTAGATCTACTGCCACTCCCACGCCAAATGAAACCGCTTGACATAAAGATACGTCGTTAAATATAAACACATTCATGCAGATTAAGAAGACACATTTGTTGCACAAAGGACACAAGTATAAAACACTCTTTTTTCTTTTTTTTATTTGACTAAATATAAAACACTGATCCTTTCTTTAGTTAATCGCTGGGAGCTTGATTAGTTGTAGTGGGTGAAGGATTTAAACTGAGTCAGAGGTGTGCCTTGCTTTTGGGTTTTATTAACCTTAAAGACTTTCATCATCTCATGATAGGTTGGGCTCGCTGCCCTTGTAAAAGAAAAAAGAGGGATCTGTTGCCTGTTAGAAGGGCTTTTTATACCTTTTGCAAATTCAAGCAAAGAAGGTTATGTGCAGTTGTCCTATTTTCATAGACTTTTAGATTTTTGCAATATTTAATCAAAAATTCAACTAAACTTAGAAATATACATTTAACTAAAACAAAACGATTTGATTGAAATCTTGACACAAAGGGTAGCAGGGGGTAATTTCATGATTTGTTTTCGTAGCGCTTGTATGTTTTTAGTGATACTTGATCTCTGAGATTGAAAGGGAGAATGTTTATCCTGTTTCTGTCGTTGACTCATAGCAACCACACTTCACCTAGTGGAAACGTTTATTTGTTTAAAATGGGATTAGGTATCTGCAAAGGAGTAGGTGAGTGTGTATATTTTGTTGCTAATAAGATTTCCAGGCTGGAGACAAGTGACTGTTTGAGTTGTTTTGAGTTGCATTAGGACCTGGGTGGTTGGGAGGCATAGACAGAAGGGGATGTGGCAGTCGTGTTCTGCAGGGTTCAGACACGCTTCCTGTAATTATCAAGTCCCCACACACAACACACACACATACATGCACAAAACTGTTCTCTGTCTCTCTCTCTCAAACACAAACACACCTCTATTTGCTGATTTTCTTCCAATTGAGCCGGACTTGCATCAAGGACAGAGTCGCCTTAACGTTGGTGCAAAAACAAAGAGCTCCTTCTTCATGTGAAGTCAAATTTGCTTCCACTAATTACGATGATGGGCTTAGATGGCTATTTAAAGTGATGAAGTAAACAGTCCATAAGTCAAGTCTGTTTTTCCATCTGCTTGTGCTCGCCAGTAAAGTTGAGTGGCAGCTGATCATACATGAACGAATTTAAGTGGCTACATATTCAGAGGAGCTTTCGTGAAGAATGAGCGGAAATAATTTTCACTTATTCCACAAAAAACTAAAAAAAAGAGAAAAGAAAACCATAGTTGATTTTTCAAAACAATGTATAATTGTAGATAATCAAAGTTACTGGAATACAATTGGAGGATCTCCTGATTACACAGATGGCTCAGAGCACTGTTTGAAAAGTGTCTCCTCTGTCATTATATGTGGGAACTACTGATCAAGCTAAAGAAGAAAACGAGGGAATTTCCAAATTCCCCCATTCCTCCGAGTCTCTTTCCTCTCACCCTCACCATCTGCCGCCCGTAAGAGCTCCTCAGCCATGAGATGAGGAGCTGAGAGAAGGAGGAGGGCATTTTCCGTTTAGCAACTGATCCGAGGAGACACATGGCCCGACTGTGATCCCATTCCAGAAGGAAATCACAGAGAAAAAGGGACTCCCTGAAGACAGACACTTTCATCAGCTGTCTCCAAAGTGCTGGGAGATGCTGGAGTAGATTTGGCACAGTTATATTCAAATAAACAACGTGATCTCATCTATATCCGATCACTGGGGAATATATTATATGTGTCTTGGTGCAAGCGGCTCTTTTAAAAAGAGAATAAACAATGGCAAACACACAGTGGAAACTTTAATTTATTTAGTCTCCAAATCCATGTTGTTCTGTTTAGTGTCACTGATGGCGGGGGTTTCTCCCTTGCAATGTTTGAACTGCGAGAGGTATAGCAAGCTCAAGAATGAAGTAAACACAAAAAACTTCATATAAATGGGTAAACAAAGCTGAAACACATTGGTCAAATTACCACAACATCCTTAATGACAAACATTCCACATGATTTTAAATTTACCAGCCTGATTTTATACTTTGCATACATTTCTTTGCCAGGCAGCTTGTACATTTCGAGCTAAATGAGTTTAAACTTGCATTTACCTATTGAGTATGAGAACTCATTCAAGAAGCACAGATAAAAAAACAAGTTGAGTCTTTAAGCAGTTAAAGGTGGAAACATGAGTAGGCAGTTCTGGTCTTGTGCCTTCGAGGTCTGATTGAGACTGTAAAGCTCAAGAGGATTTTGGGGGGCGGGGTAAAGCTGGAGAACGTTGGTGTTATGCGTTATCAGTACCTTGTGCTCCTCTGTTCTCATGTGTGAAGGGGGGGAAATGATTTCAGAAACCAAAATAAAAACCATATGGAGTGTCTAAAAAGGATAAGAGAGAAGTCTACCTTTGGGTCATATGACTGATGTTATCAATGAAGAATGAAAAAAGCAAATTTGTTAAAGTTCCAAGTTCACATGGAGAGTGCAACACTGTTTTAGTGATCACTGATGTTCTCTTGGTGTTCAGTGCATCATGCAAATTCCTCAGTGTGCCATGAGATAAACAATCAATACAGTACATTAAAACGTGCGCTTCATTATCAGACAGAACAGGTATGGGGCGCCAAGTGTAAAAGAAAATGTGAAAAAAAGGGTCAATAACACTTTTTCATCATTTAGCTTGCTTTCTGAAAGGTAAATGTTTTCACTTACATTTTGTTAATTTTCCACAAAATTTTAAATTTAAATGTAAAAAAAGAAGTGTGAATATTAAAACCAAAATCTAAATATGTAACTCTGAATGTAAATGTAAATCTTAACTGTTGGATTTAAATAATGACGTTTACATTTACAGTGTATTGAAACTTCTTCGCCATTGGTTAACGGCTCATGTTGTGACATCATCATCCTGCGACGAAAGCAACTGCTAACACTTGAACGCAGCTAAAGCTTCCCTACAAGTCATCCAATTTGCTGTTGTGTCTGAGGTTCACTGCAAACCTCCGGACCACAGTTACCATTCATTTTGTTTTCAGTGAAAACATTTTGAATTTAGATTTCTAATGCCATCCTCAGCTGCGTTACAAGCATTAGCAGCTGCTAGCATTGAGGTTTTACATCATCCTAGTTAGCTATCACTAACAATGCCAGGTTATTCATGTCAAATAAATTGTATTCTTTTATTGCACTTAAATAAAAAAAAATGTTGTCCAAAAGTGCTGCACGGTCAAACATTGAGCTGTACTTTAACAATAGCATGCACTTTTGTTTAACATTAAGCACACTTTATTTGTAGGAAAATCCCAAGGTGTATAACAAGCTTTTTGCTGCAGGCACTTTTCATCACTCAGCACATATCAATTTAAAACATTAAATTATTCCTATTGACAGAGGTAAAAAAAAAAAAACAGAAAATAAATTTGCTTTTCTCTTTTCAATTTTTTTGTCTTTTATTCAATAATGCCAATTTACACTAGCTGTTTTTCTCTTAGTCCCTTCTTGTCATACTTTTTTTCTCCTATAGCAACCCCTCTCCTTATAAATAAATAAAGTAAATAAATAAAATACAACACAAGAATAATAATAATAGTTGTGTCCCTGAAGGCTTAAAACCTTTGCTCCCTCTCTCCCTTTTCCTTGTTAAAAAACTTAACTCATCTCATTCCCTGTCCCCTTAACTGATAAAAGGTCAGAAAGGATATTAGAGTCTCAGCAGCTGCCTTCCCCTCTGGACATCTCATTAACAAAGTGGAGCGAGCACTCGATACCCGAGAGGAGAGAAGGTGATGCTAAGATGTACACGGGCAAAATGAGTTTGACAGAAATATGAGTGTGAACACAGGGGAGGAGGTTCAAAAAAATGATCACTTTTCACTGCTGGCCTAAAAGGTGTGAGTTGTCTGAACAGCACCTGCTTCAGTTTTCCAACCTTTTGGTTCAAGGTCTGCAGTATGCTGTGTGCTGCAGCCATGATCCAGTGCGGTGAATTTAAATACAGGCCTTTTTCACATGCAGATGAAAGAACAGTAATGATACTCCTCACCTGTCACTTTAGCTTTAAGTAGTGGAAATAAAACTATCAACAAAAAAAATTCCCACCTTTGTTTTAATTCATCTAAACACTTTGGCTCCTTCTGGTTTTTCCCACTTCGGGTTCAGAAGAAAGTTACTCTCAGAGCCTCATCAGATGAAGCTTGTAAAACACACAGCGAGAGCTTTTTTCTTCTTCTCAGGAAAGAAAGGTCTAAAATTACAGTTCAAAGGAAACTTCATACATCAGTAATTGCCACCTGAGTAATCCCTGTGTTTATATGTCTTCACGTGCCTTTTGCTCTGCTCTCTGTTTTACAAAAAGCGCAGAGGAAAAAGAAAAGGTTTCAAAATGGTTTAATACATTTCTGTCAATGCATTCACTCATTTCTCTTAGCTTTCTGATGTTTTCTAAGTTTTCAAGCATGGTTTATCAAAGACTACAATGATTTAAAATATAAATAGATGAAGCTCGAAAGTACTTTAAGTCCTTTGGGCTTAAAATGTAAAAGTGAGGCTAAAAAATAGAAAGCACAGCACAATATTAAGCCTGCCAAAGTGAATTAGCATCATGTAGTCACCTTTGAAGACAGCTGCAGGAAAAAAAGTAAATACTCCTAACTCTGGAAGTACTGTGTCTTTGACAGGCAGCTGAGGTAAGCATTTATGATGAATTTATTTATAAAATGATGATGGTTTAACAAGTTTTGTCAAGCATCTCTATGAAATTTAATGACCCGAACAAAACTTTAAGAATGGTAGCGCAGTTTTAAGTTTCAAATGCATTTATCCCTCCTCCTTTGAAATATGTAAAACTCAATTTTATGCATAAATAAATGCATTTAGCATCTTTGCAAAACCACTTACTAAGAATGAACTGTGAATAAGTAAGTTTAGGGTTAGGTGGAGGTCATGCCCGCATTATGAAAACTGCTGTATCACCATGGCAGCTTTAGCCAAAGCATCATGATGGGATGGAGGAGGCAGCACAATAAATCTAAGCCTGAACGTCTACCTGTAGCCCTGCTGACACTCTGACACAAAACAAGCTGTGCAATGGCTTCATTAGCTGTAAAACTGATGGTTGTCCTGAAGAAGGAACTCCTCTCTCGCTGCAGGCCTGCTGATCTTATATGGGCTGCCAAGAGACGTCACTGATGCAAATTTAACTCACATGGAGCAAAATAAAAAGGTTCTTGTTTTTGCTTCACAGAGCATGTACTTACCTACAGGGTCGATTCAAAGTATAATAACCCCTTGATTTATGAAGTTTGATTGGCCAAACACCCGGACAGTTAAGGTGTATTAACACCTTTAGACGTGTTTAAAGTCTTTAAATGTTGTGCTGCCAAAGATTAAGGTCAATTATTTCTAAAGACGGCATGGTTTCAGTGTTCGTAACGCAATACTCTGTGTAATTAAGCTAACAGCCCTGAGTTAACTGTGGGTGTAAGCAAATAAAAGGATGACTGAGGTGAAGGCAATTTAAATGCATTTGAAATAATCTTCCCTGGTCCAGAAGTCTAGACAGAATATAGATGAAACAAAAGAAGAAGAAAAAAGGGGGTAGTGTTTTTAACATGTGCAACATGTGGATAACATCAAAGCTAAAAGATCAATCGTTAGGTCATATTTGAAACACATGATAATTTGCACAAAGGAGTTCACTCCAAGAAAGCATAAAAACCTGACCTCATGCCTTATTGAGCTTCCTATTGATCCGACTCTATATTTGCCCTCTTGACCAGAAGCGGGTTAAAAATATTTCAGTTCTGACGTAACGCGCATTTTCTATTCAGTGTTACACTTTCCCACTAAGGTCACATTAATCTTTTTTCCACATTGCTTTGATACCAGATGTTATGAGAATAATTGTATGGGTGAATACTTAAAAACCACATCCCTCCTCATCTCCCTGAACTGCGTCCAAGTCCATGTGTGTGAAAAATTCACACAATTCCACCCGCGCCCATGTCTGTGTGTGTGTGTATGTATGGGTTTGCCTGAACTGACTGAAGGGTGTGTGCAAATATAACTGGCAGAGCCCATGAGGCATGTATTAAGACTTGGATGTTTATCATTCCATAATGATAGGATCCAACTTCAGCCTTTTCACTGCGCTGTGTGCTAGCCAAGACACGCATTCGAGCATCGAAACAGACAGTGGAGGGATGTCAATCACCTTGGCAGTTCTGTCCGCAGGTAGCTAACGAACTGGGTGATGTACGAAAGAAAGAACCATACCTGATATTGACGTGGCTTTAATGATTAAGCTTGTCAGCGGTTGTCTTATTACTTATGTTAAAAATGTAACAAGACCTCCAGAGCATTGATCTTTTCCAAAAAAAAGTTAATTGCATAATTATTTTACATCTGTTATTCATCATTTTACATTGTACAAATTCAATTTACAGTGTTTTATTTTTCATCACTCCTACTGATGGACAAGTCTTGTCAATTTTCATTACATACTCCAAGTGCAGATTTATGAGCTACTGACCATCCAAATTCCACACCTATTTCCAGCCATGACTAACAGGCTTATGTGGAATCATCTCCTTCTGTTGCTATAGAGATCAAAGGCAAGGAGGAAAAAAAATACCATGTTTACTCAGGAGTTTTTTTATCTGCAAAGATAAAAACCCTCATTATTGTTGGAGAGACACACAGCAGTCAGTCCACAGACCAGTGCGTGCACGTCCATGTTACACACTCAAAAACACAAGTAAACAGCCACAAGCACACAAACGCTTCTCACAGACATATTCTCACGTCAAAAGAAAAGGAAAATATCTTCCATCATTCAGCCACTTTAACACGAGAGAAAGCCACATTGTGGATTTCCAGCCACCATAGCTGAGAGACCAAAGCAAACTCTAAGGAGGGATGGGGTGAAATAAAAAAACGACATAAAAACAAAAACAGCTCCAGATAACAGAAGTTACTCTTCTCAGATCCTCTGCCTGCACAGTGCCTTTCCTCTCAGGTGAAATCATAAATCTTCAATGACCACATCGTTACTTAGCCATGAAACCTGCAAGCTTCTTATTCTTATCCACAGAAAACACAGCTTCTTTGACTCGTTTGCTTTCTGTATGTTGGTGCTATTTTTTCCTTTTCAGTTTATGAACATGCCAACCAAATGCTTTCACTGCAAATACTGCGATGCCTTTCAGATTTCAAAATGTTATCATCTTGGATTACTTTCAATAAAAAAATAAATACATCTGCAATCAGTGGAAAACAAAAGACATGGACAAAGTGATGCACCTGTCTCGTTCTCAGTTTGCAGCAGTGCTTGCTCTGAGTAGAGAAAATTACACTTTGTTTCACTCCAAAGATTGTTTTTCTTTTTTTATTTAGCAGACTAAGTTTTTATTCGTGCCACATGAAACAATTTGGAAACACACACACAAATGTAGAGTTCTTGTTCTACCTTTGTGGGAGAGACGTATCCTTGGGTAGACGCTGTGGGCTGTGAGAGCCATGCAAAGCAGATGAAGATAGAGCAGCATCAGTGACTTAGTCACAGTCCTTTTGCATCCTGCCATCACTGAAACAAACATTTTACATTCACCAAGTTCAAAACCAATTAAGTCCCCTCAGCTTGAGCAGCAGAGTCGAATAAAAATGGCAAAAATCCACAGGTTTTTGCACTGTTTGGCATCCACAAAAAAGTCTTCTTAGAGCTAAGAGTCTTTTTTTCTTAGGATCACCAGTGTCGATCAACTAGATGTATATCCGCAGTCTCTGTGCAGGGGCTGCTTTCCCCTATAGCCGTCTGCTGAAAGCTGCATCCACCCACTACCTTGGTGGAAAAGATAGTGATTTGGCTATTATCCTTGTTTGGTCTTAGTAACCAGGGAAAAGAGAAGTCCAGTTGCTACATTCACGCTGCAGTGCTCACTGCTCTCTGTCCATATGTCAGTCCGTCTGCATGGAGAGCCGCTCTGTCTGATCTGAACAAGAAGAAAGTAAAAACTGAAAAGAAATATTAAGTCTCCAAAAAAACAAATCCCAGAAAAGAGTAGAAGCTGTTAATTTCTAAGAAAGAAAAAAAAACAACCTTTGTCCGTCCCAGCAGGCAGACAGACAGGCAGGCAGAGTTGGAGCTGCTGTAATGTGTCCTCAGTTTCTGATCCTCCTCTTGGTTCCACTGAGGCCAGTCACTCTCTGGACAGAAGCCCAGGAAAAATCAGAGTGGGAGAAGGGAGGAGGGTGGGTGGGGAGCAGGGAGCCTCGTGCCTGGCGTGCAGTCTCTGAGCACTGGGGGAAGAAAGTGAGGCTTCAGCTCCTGACTCTGCTCTCGCTCAGGCAGTCGGGGAGGATCCAAAGCTCGGCTCAAACCTCTATGAGTCAGTCGGCTTCTGCCAGGTTTCCTGATCTGAGGTCACCTGCTACGGTGCGGTTAGAGTGAGTAAAAGCTTGTGAAAGTAAACAGTAATGTGTGGAGTTGTTATCAGGGAAGAGGTTTTTAAAAACGCCTGCATCCTACTGAAGATTGTCTTGAGATCTCCTTTCCCCTCCAGGCAAGCTGTGTGCTGTGTCAGATTCTGTAAGACTTTTCCCTCCTGTCACTCTTCAGACCACCCCCTGCTTTTCCTCCACTGCTTTTCTCCTTCAGTTTTTTTTATTCCTCCTCCAGCTCCTGCCGCACTGACATGGACTTCCGCCAAGGCTAACTGGCACTACTTTCATTTTCAATTATCCCTCTTTGTGCTTCTTTCTATGCGGTTAATTATTATCACTGTTACCATGGATTTTCATGCATGGATTTCCTTTCATCAAACTGTTTTTTTCTCACCCTGCCCAATTATTCTTTTGCTCTGTTTACATGTCACGCCCATAAGGCCTGGTTATCACTTTGTCCCGGTGTGTCCCACACTTTGCTCTGACTCCTCACACCAGGAGTTTCCTCATTTTACATGACCGCCATTGAGGCTTTTTTGTTATAATATTTTTGTGTATGTGTGTGTGGTGACAGCAGTATCACATCATTCCAACAAACAAAAACAATGTGCAGGAAGTGATTGATGTTGCAAGAAGTTGCAAACACATTAGAAAATCCCCAAAATCAACATTTCATGGGGCCAAGCAGCTTCTGTCTCCCATGCATCTTTCCGGGGTGCATCTGTTTTTCTTTGTATTTGTCTCCTAGTCTGTGTTGACATCGTCATTAAGTCATGCTGATCCTTGCTGGAGGATTTGGTTAGACTGCACAGACAAAAAATAAAAAAAAATAAATAAATAAAAATAAAAACCCTTGTTGAAATGAAGAAATTATTGGCTTCCAACAAAAAACAAACAAACAAAGTGTAGCTTTCCTTTAAGGAATGCTACACCTAGGAGACGTATGATGCTTTTAAGTCCTTCTTTTTCACGTTTAAATCATTCAGTTGGGGTCTATATAAAATTGAACTGCAATGCTTTGGTCTGAATTCCTGTTTATTGTAACTCCACAAGCCCCCTTTTCTCCACTTCTCTGAGCTGTGTCTCAGATCAACTCATTTTGAGGCTGTTTCTTTAAATCCAAACCAGAGGCTTCACACCTCGACCTTTCCAGCTTCCAAAGCGGTGCATTTTAGTTTGATAGAGGGGCTTACGACTATATAGTGGTGCAGAAATGTTTTTTTTACAAATTAATAAACAATGTCAACAACTGAAGACTTGTCCAACCAGCCTTACATGTTAGAGCCAGAGTCTGACCCAGAGCCAGAGGAGAATTGTAGCTGTTAAGTCCATAGCTTAATAGAAATTCCATCGCAAATTCTGTAACATAATAGTTCAGAAAATGGCATATAAAATGGAGAAAACTGAACAGGTTGAAAAATATGACCTAAACAGAGTATAAAGATATTTGTGCAGCACTGAGAGAGAATAAATTCAAATTTCCAGCACTCCTAGAGACTCCAAGTACACAACAAAATACATTTAATGGCTAAAAAAATGGATTGTGTATATGTCAGTTTTTGAACTTTACTTACATTAATACATATTCAGTAAATTCAGTATTCAGTATAATACATATTCATATACATATACATGCTCAGTGGTATCGTATATAATTTGAATAGTACTTAAAGCAGTTGAATGGATCTAAACAAAGATGAGTAACAGAGATCCACACAGTAAGAATCAGTTGACATCAACACATAGCAGGCCTATAAATTAAGACCCATGTGGTGATATGGAAATGATTGCACTGGGCCGTAGCAGCTGCAGTCACACCCCCACACCCCTACACCACCCTGGGATCTGATGACCGGCTGCAACTCCCACGTTGCACCTGTTCCCTACCAGAACAGAAGGACTTTGTGTGAGTAGAGGTCTTGTAATATGTACTATATCTGTTATTCTATTGCCTGTTGTAATTATAGCCTCTCGTCTGTTGTTACAGGGTGAGACAACTGTTCATCGTCAGCCCCCCTGTTACTATCAAACTCATTGTGACACACAGTTTCATCAGTCTTAAGGCACTAATGTATGAACATATTTTAGCTTCGCATCTACACTAAAAGCCCCTCATACAGATTCTCATTTCCGAGTCCTCAGATTAATAGGCGTTCAAAGCGGCTAATGCACCAGAACCAGTTGGTACATTCTCTTCTCCAGTTCCGCCAACAGTGGCAGCAATCAATCAGAAATCTGCCTCAGATCAAACAAAGTAACAGCTCAATTGTTCATGCCTTCATCCTTTCTGACTGTTCGCCTATAGTAGCTTGCACCAAGGACCCCCCCCCACCCCCACCACCCCGTGCAGCACTCCTACACACAACAGCAGCCACAGACTCGCTTCCTTACCACCTCCATTAAAATTCTGTTCTTCTACACATGTCCCTGGGATTCCACCAATACCAATTTTTATTCAGCGTGTTGTGCACTGCAGTTATTTTCGCTCTGCAATATTTGTGCTCTGCGATTGCTACAGATTTCAGGACTGGTAACAATCATGGAAAACATTTTTGGTGGATCCTGTCACATCTTTTAAAGTCCTTTTTTTCCCCTTTTCTCGCTTTTTTTTCTCCCCCAGGAAGTTTGAGGTTTTGAAAGAGAGTTTGATTGAGACTAGGTATCGAGCGTTTATTTGAATTAGACACGTCTAAATGTCTAGCGGCATTTCTTTCATGCTGACTGAAGACAGAAAATATTTTCATTCATAACGATGCTGTGTCAACATCCAGCCGGCTCACCGGAGGCCTTTCTCACCTCCTGTTTGACCCACAGAGGCAGAAATGCAAGCTCTTCCTGCCCTAAAGATGCTGTCTTCATGTCTACACACACTGAACTGCAAAATGCATGAAAGAGAGCAAAAAAGGAAACGTGAAACTCAAAGCAAGATATGTAAAACTGAGCGTAATATGGTCCTTGCCTGAAAGCGTACTTCAGTTCTACTGCCCACCACCTGCTGGGGTCTTCCCTGCTGAAGCGAGGTCATGGCTCAGGTCTCCTACGGCAACAAGAGCAGCGCTCTGAGGATTCTGTGTTTCTGAGCCATGAAATACTCCAACCGTTTACACAGGTGGCTGTCATATGGCCAGTTAAGATTGTCCCCACGGTGCACATGCACGCACATAAACATAAAAAGCACCAGTTTGTATTAAAAGACAGGAAACCAAACATGTTTCCTTGGGATTACATTAGAAGCTTCAGATAAGAAAACCTCAAGACCCAGAAATGTTTATACTTTTTTATAGCCAGAGCGCTGGTGTTTCTTTGTGTGTGATTCCACGCAGAGAGAGACAGAGACTGCTGATGAGACACAAAGGAGGGAGGGGAAAAAATAGCTTGTCAGCCGGTGGCCTATTTTGACTGGAAAGCCAGGTGTGTTACGGTTGACTTTTCTGAGTTTGTCGAGTGAGAAATTCTACAGCACAAAACCCACCGTGCATAATTTTACCCATAAGAATTTACACTTGTAACCTCCTTTGACATTATGTTGGAAGAAAAGTGGAAAAAGGTCTGCATACATTTTGTTACACACAATTATCTTCTAGCATCCTACTGAGTGCTGCTAACCCTCAGGTTAGGCAGGAAGTGGGTGTGAGTCCCGCTTCTGTGGGACCAAAGCATGGAAAAAACTTTCTCTCTTTGCTACATATGAAGTGAGAGACCCCTCTGAGCCATCCAAGTTCCATTTACCAGCTATAAAAGAACTTACTTGGTCACTTTTTTTAGCTTTTTTTTCTTCCTGTTATTCAGCTTTTGAGGGTTTTTTTTTTTCAGGTCACAGCACTAGTAATGAAAAACCCAGGCTAGATCAGTGTGCTGCAGTCAAAAGGGAGATTAGGTGGAACACGTTACATCTCTGCATTGATTCAAGGAAGTGACCATCTGCTGTTGTGTGTATTCAGAAGCGTTGTTGTGCTAAGCAACATGCGGTCTACAGGTGAGTGGAGGAGTTGTGTTTTTATAAAATGGGTTTGCACGTTAATGCGTTAATGTTTATCAATGTGTTTAAAAATGCACATTAAAGAAGTTACTATGGTTTTCTTTATATTTATCTTCTTCTTCGTAACATTTTTTTTTTTATTTTAAAACTCTTCCCGATGTCAGGCTGGGTAGAAGTAAAGTTATTTGTAAGCCCTGCAAAGCTGCACTCTTACAACTGGAGTAGTTAGAGCATGAAATATCACTTAAATTGAAAACAACCATAACAAACACAGGGAGGGTTCTGCAAGCAAGGCTGAAACAAAAGGTTGAAAACAAAAAGCAAAAGCATGTTCTAAACATCTTTAAGTCATAATTGAATTTTGTGCAAAAATAATGAGAATAATCAAGAATTCAAGGAGCTTTATTGTCATTTCATAGAAGTCCATGAGGAAAGATATATTCTGAGGTTGCAGTTGTCAGCAATGAATAAAAAACACAATGAGAAATAGGAATATAAAAAGAAAACCATAATAAAAGAAGAACTGCATACAGTGTCTCGCACATGGAGTACATTGCAGCATACAAACTTACACATTCTGGTAATGCTTTCTTTTAAAGGACCCTTATTACCATGTAATTACAAGGTAATAAAAAGGTAATTAAATGGTATTTACTACCTTATTACCATGTAATTACAAGGTAATAAATTAGATAATTAAATGGTATTTACTACCTTATTACCATGTAATCACGTGGTAATTAGGGCACAAAAGAAAAACTACTGTTAGTAAAACTATCTTTATTGGGTAACCACAATCAAATTACTATTCAATAGTAACTCAACACTAATAATTAAATATAACCAAAAGAATGAAACTAAAATTTGGGATTAGTGGTTAATTGCAATAAAATATAAATTTAAAACTGTCCAAATTTCCTACTACTTATTTAGGTGTTACACAGTGGATTGTATTACATCACCAGGTAAGTGCTACATTACTGCAGACAATTAATTACATAATAAAAGTGTACCCTAATTACCATGTAATTACTTGGTAATAAGGGTACCATAAAAGAAAGTGTTACCAGTTCTGCCATGGTAAAGTTATGGTTTCAAAAAAATGTATTAAAGTATTAAAGTATTAAGATTAATCAAAAAAATA